GCAATTGCCCTAAGGCGCGCAGGTGACAAAAAAAAGCTCCACCAGGCGGGCCAAAATCCACAGCTTCGACACCATCCTCTTTTGCAGCAAGTGCATGTTGGGGTTCTCCGACTTCCTCGTCTTCTTCTGCTCCATCACCGTCCTGTCCAAGACCGATGACTTCTTGAAGCATTTTCATGTGCTCCATGATGTCTTCAGATACGGACGATTGCTCCTCGCGTTTCGATCTCCAACCAAATAGGGAACATCATCCTTGACGTGTAGATGAACCATCTCCTTTTCAGGCGTTATCATGAACGGCAACTTCCCACAAACCCAGTTAAAAGAATATCCAATCTTCATGCATCGTCGACCAATAGATAACACCGTCGGCGTCTCATCCTTAACAAAGGGTTGGACTGCTTCCTTCAGTTCATTCACGTAGTACTTGCTAGAATCCGAAGTGGACGTAGTACCATTTGCCGTTTGGAAGACAATCTCGTCCTTGTCCTGAGCAATGTCAACACCGAGGGAGGCCGCCTTGCCACACCCTGTGTCCATCAGCAATTTTACTCCCTTGCGTTGGTTCGCAGACAGGGCGAATAGACTGATAGGCTGTCCGTGCTTTCTTTTCCATTGCGCGACTCCCTCCGTAATCTCGTCATCCTCGTCATATAATCGAAAGTGAAGGTTCGCTCCTTGTTCATTGGCATCTTGTGAGTACGATATATGTCGTTGGCCGCCTTGCTCATATAATCTCAGCTCTGATGAGTGCCTTCTTGTGACTATACGCAAGGTGCCGTCGATGATCGTATGTCTTGAACGTCTTGGCATCGATCGGCTTCGCGGATGTTTGGGACATGTCCTCATAAAATCCCTTGTGCCACATCGAATTGTTCCGCCACTGTTTGTCCTCGTTTTTCAGGTACCACCTCTTCGCTCACGTGATTGTCAAGAATCTCTTGAGTATCTCAGTCTCACCTGACCACCCGAAGATTCACTCATGACGTCTTCTGCATCACGATCGTGACACACGTTCTCGACCTCGGCTTCGCTCTCCTCAGCGCTTATCGCTCTTTTTGGCTTCCGAAGTCGCGGCCCTCTTGACAGTGATAGCGGGCATAGCGATGTGAACCTTTTTCACAATTGCTGGAGCTGCTGCTTTGGGTTTGGCTTGCGCCTTTGTTGCTTGGCGTTAGGCTATACATCATCGTAGACATCAGCTGGGAATAGCTCGCCAAGAAACTCTGGCTGCGGCGGTGACTCTGCCAGTCGGGCATGGGCGCTGACAAGTCCCCGGAATTTCCTATGAGCCAGCCCGTGTGTATACATCATCGTAGACATCAGCTGGGAATAGCTCGCCAAGAAACTCTGGCTGCGGCGGCGACTCTGCCAGTCGGGCATGGGCGCTGACAAGTCCCCGGAATTTCCTATGAGCCAGCCCGTGTCGTCTTCCTCGTGCGCCGGTGCGTCTGATCTTCGCTCATCCGTGTCCAGGTCAGGCCGATAGTCCTTGCGACGCTTCCTGCCGCCACCGAGCTTTGACGGTGAGGCGCCCCGAAGAGACAGCATGTCACGCAGGTCCGCCGTCTCCTCGGCCGTCATTGCCCTTTGCGGCCGTTGCTGGGTCCAAGCCACGTGTCGGGCGACGTCCTGTTCGAGGGACAGTGGGCGGCCGTGGGCCCGGGCAGCTGTGGCGTCGCGCAAAGCGTCCAGGCGCTGTTCAAGCTTTGCCCGCCATCGGAACAAATGCGTCTCAGCGACTGCGCGAAAGGCCCAACAGTCTGGCACGTACTTGAAGGGTGACGCGCGACATTCCAACAAATGCCCACTTCAACGGCGACCACGTTGGCTCGTGGTCCATGTGCACCGTGATGGCGCACGACAGCACGAGCGGAAACTGCTGGCGACTCAGCGCGAGAAACTGGTCGCGCTGAAGCTGTTTTCCTTCCGAAGCAAGGGATGGCCAGGCACCATCTCCGGGCCTGTGTAGGTTGGGAAAGTCGACGACGACATACTCGACTTGCTTCGCAGACACGACGCCTACTTGTGACGCCAGGCGAGCTAGCAGCCTGCTGCTGCGTCTCTTGGAAGAGCGCGGAAACGATCGAGCCCCGCACTCCGTTCACTTGTGGCGATCTGCAGCGTCGCTGCTGTCCACGGACCACACTCTGAGGATGTGAGCGCCGTCCTCCTCCGCCACGTGCTTCCCCAAGCGCTGGCCATTGAACATGCCAGCCTTGCGGTTCTCGCAGAACATGTGCGCGCGACTTTTCTCGAAAGTCAAACGTTCCTTGGGCGGCAGACCGCAGGCGGAGCTCGCCAAGTCGTGCGATTGCCATAGCAGCACGTCTTCCTTGGCGCGTGCTGCGTCCCGCGCCCGCAGCAAAGAGTCCTTGCGCACGGACTCGCCCACTTGGCGGTGAACGCGGCGCAGCCGGTACACGACGCGGATGGACGGGAAGAGCCGCATGTCCAAGTTGACCTCCTCTTTGTTCTGGCCGTGCTTCACTGGCGGGGTGTTTAAGAGGGTCTTCTTTGCCGCGACTGCGACGGGCTAGCTGGCCGAAATCGCCAGCTAAGACCACCTTTATGCCGCCGAGTGGCAGGCGGGCGCCGCAGCGACACTCGCGGCCCTGGGAGTGCGTGGCATGATACTTGGCGTATCTCCATTGAGACGAGCATCTATGCGCTGCAGCACAAGCTGTTCGACCATAGAAAGCTCGTCAATCTCGAGCAGCGCAACGCGGCCAAGCTCGGCGTCCAGGGCAGTCATGTCCTCTTCGCTCAGCGGCGAGAGCTGGCCGAAGTACACGTTGCGAGAGTGCAGGCGAAGCACGGACATGATGGTGCGACTGCCCGGGCCCATGTTGCTCGCAGCAACGCCAGTGTACGCCACGCGCACGATGCGGCTCTGCTGGTGCCTGCCACCTCAAAAGCATCTCGCCGCCGCGAGGAAGGCAGCTGCTCGCCCTCATGCAGGTTGAGGTCCCCGAGACACGCAGATTGAGCCCCGAGGGGTGCAGAACGCTGCAGGACTTGGACACCTGCTTGCGCGACGAGCGAGCGCCCGTGCGTCATCGGCGTTGCCGAGAAAGCTCTTCTCATGACCAGCAACTGCCAGCTGGTGCGTCGGGCCCGCAGAAAGTGGTACCGAGGCTTGACGGAGAAGCGTATCACGCACGGCACGCTGGTGGAGGTCCCGCCTTTGCTTGCGGAGACAGCGCCCGGTGCAGCGAGCGCGTCCTCGGCGCTGGAGGTGCATGCCGGGCAGACAACGGCCGTGCGCACGCTGTCGTTCAACATGAACCAGCGAGACCCCGACACAGAGCTAGCTGTGCTGATGGGCGAGCGCAACGTGATGCGCTTTCAAGAAGTGACGCCCACTTGCCTAGGCCACCTGCACGCCCTTGCCATAGGAGCAGGCATGTCGGTCGCGAGTCCAGCTCAGCGCGGCCACTGCAGCGCAGAGGGCTTTGACGACGTGCGTTTTATGGCGGCGCAGCGGCGCAGTCTCACAGACAGCAAGCGGCGCGGCGAAGGGATTTGGACACTTGCTTGAGCCGGCTGGAAGGCTGCCCTGCCTGGACAGCCCATGATGTGCTCGTGCATGGCGCTCTGCACGTAGCGCGTAAGCTTGGCCTTGCGCGCGGTATAGCTTTTGCATCTCTAGCTTAGAGAGAAAAAGCCCGCTTTGCTGACTGTGGTACAGTTTACACCTGTTCCTATTGCAACCAAACACTGCTTACAATTCCGTGTGGTCACTTACCTCCTCAACACATATTTACCTTCTGCGTCGGAGTAGATCCAGCCAGGGGCCTACGAGGTGTATTCCGGGGCCTCTTCGAAACCCCCTATTTTAAATCTCAGGGGGGTGCAAGGGGCTCATTGTTGTGTCGCAGCATATGTTCAAACGTTCTCAGACGTACTCGACGTGAAAACGAACTTTGTCCTGCTCAGTGAACCCAACGCAACACATGTCTTGCCTGAGTCTGATGTTTTGTGTAGACCCTTCTGTGACATGTTCTGCGGGGGTACTTTTTGACTGTGGAGAGTTTTGGCTGACAGGTGGGTCATGACAGTGCAGAGGCCGCATCTTTGTCGTTTCTGATCTTGTTGCGATTGCACAAGCTTCCTGGATGCACGCCCAGTGTTGCAGTCTTTTCTGTTGCCCACATTGCCTTGGCGGGGCCAAGCTTCTTTCCATGTAGATAGCTGCCACTGGCTGGAAGTCTGAAAGCAGCAGGTGCTGTTGGACCCATATGTATATCTAGATCTGTACACATTCAACGGCTACAGCTAATTCAATTTTCGCGCGGATGCATACGCAGCAATGAACACCACCCTTTTGCCACTTGGGGCCCCCCATGTTGGGGCGCGCTTCTTTGGAACGCTGAAACCCTTTTTTTGGAGGCGGGCCAGGCATGATGCGAGTTGGGTGTGCTTTTTTTGAAAGGAAATCGACCGGCACGCTCGAGGCCAGTCAAATTCTTGAGTCAGGCTTTTTTTGATGCACGATCTGTGGATTGTGCCTTGAAAAATACTCAGAGAGCGCAACAACTGTGACATCTTCAATTGCGGCATTTTAAACATTTGTTTTCAGGCTACGCCATGTTGCTTTTGTTTATTGGGGGCCCGGAGGCGTCGCTTACACCTACACAGGCCACAGAGCTGCTATGTGTTTCAGCGTATGTGGACGGAAGAAGAATCCTCAGCGATGATAAGACACACCCAAGTAGGCAGCGGGCGGTCCGGCGGTCCGTTTGTTGTAGGGTGTCGTGATGCACTTCCTAAAACGCTGGCTTGCTCAAAGCTCGACCTCTTGACCTTCTGGATTTCCCGGCTTGGCCTTTGGCAGTCAGAGTCCCAAAGAAGTGTAAGGCCCCGAAGACAAATTGAGAATCCAGCGATCAAGGTCGTTTAACCCCCCGCCCCTATAGTATAGGATTAGAGGGGCTGGTTCCAACCCAATCCTCATGCAAGTAGCCTGTTCCGCTTGGATTTGCTTGGCGGCGCTTGAGGTCCAGTGGAGTGCCTTCTCCGCTTTGACCGTGGCGTGATCTTTCTGCGCCCGTTGGATGTGCACGCCTGCGTGCACGAGGAAAGCACAAGAGAGCCAACCCATCAACCGGAAATCCAATTGAAATGTACCTGCAGAGGCTCCTTTCTCAGGGCCCCGTTGCTTGCCACATGCTGCAGGTTATGATAGGGCGGGCGAAGGTGCAGATGAATATTCAGATGATTAGAAGGAATTTGCTGAAGATGAATAGCAATTAAATAAAACCTTGATGATGAAGATGATGATGATGACGATGATGGTTGCAAGGAGTTTGAACACTTTTCTTCTCGCGCTGAAGGGCCGGGGAGCCTGCATGCATTTCAGCGCCCTTTGCAGCGGCGTGCCTTGGGCTGCTCAAGATTTTCACCAAATATTGTTTACACTATGGGGTTCCTTACGGCAAGAGTTAAGGCGGTTTAGATCGAGGTTCGCGCTCAAATTGCTGGCCCTGTGCGTAAAAAGTTGTTTTCGATGCGACTTTCTCGCACGAAATGGAGGTTCGCGCTGGCGCGCGCGTCTCGCTGTGGTGCCGTTCACAGTGGCTTTTTTTGCTGGCAGGGCCACAGTTGGGAGGTTTGCGCGATGAACTTTTGATAAAACCGCTGCGGCGCGGGTGTGTGTTTTTTGAGGAAGCCTCGTGCCAAACGCGTTTTTTGAGAGCAAAGTGCGTTTTGCAATGGCAAATCCGCCACGCGGTGATATCTTCTTGTCGGGTCAGGCTTACGACGCTGGGACAATCGGAGCTCTAAAACCCTGGCAGTTGTCGCAAAAAACTGTCTTGAGGGCGAGAGCTTTGCACGAAACGGACCTTCCTTCAAAACTGCGTTCTCGCTGTGGCGCCGCGCCGATTTTTTGGATTTGCGTGTTGCCGCAGAATTCCAAGGCCGAGCGCGGCATTCTGTGAGACTGCCGTGCGTTTTTCGTGGCAGGCGCAGTATGTTTTGCGCTGATGCTATAGGACCCTAAAGGATGAGTGGCAGGCACAGTCTTTTCATACAAGGGTCTGTGAATTTCATGGCAGGCGGAGCGTTTCACTCATTTGCAAGCGCTGCGAGACAAAAGCGAGCCCTTTGCGGAGATTACGCGTGTCGAAGCGCTCTCGCTGTGGCGCCGTGCGCATTTATCTTGAGCACCCTCTCTGCAGAGATTGCGCGTGTCGAAGCGCTCTCGCTGTGGCGCCGTGCGGATTTGTCTTGAGCTGCCTCTGCGGAGATTGTGCGTGTCGAAGCGCTCTCGCTGCGGCGCCGTACGAATTTGTCTTGAGATCGGCGAACCCTCTGAGGACATTGCGCGTGTCGAAGCGCTCTCGCTGTGGCGCCGTTGTCTTGTGAGCTCGGCGAACCCTCTGGGATTGCGCGTGTCAAAGCGCTCTCGCTGTGGCGCTGTGCGAATTTGTCGTGAGCTCGGCGAACCCTCTGCGGAGATTGCGTGTGTTGAAGCGCTCTCGCTGTGGCGCCGTGCAAGTTTGTCTTGAGCTCGGCAAACCCTCTATGGAGATCCTGCGTGCTGAAGCGCTCTCACTGTGGCGCTGTGCGAATTTGTCTTGAGCTCGGCAAACCCTCTGTGGAGATCCTGCGTGCTGAAGCGCTCTCACTGTGGCGCCGTGCGAATGCGTCTTGCTCTCGGCAAACCCTCTGCGGAGACCCTGCACGTCGTAGCGCTCTCGCTGTTTCGGTTTTTCGGTTTTTCGGTTTGTCTTTGCTTGCGAACCGGTGTTGGGAAGTTGTCTCGTGGTTCACGCGTCTGCTTTCACGATCGCGCATTAGTACGCGCAGTGCGCTTGCGCAGGTCCCGCACGATACTGTGAGACTCCCGCAGCCCCGCGGCTGACACTTCGCAAGTACCAAAGTGTTACGTTGAGAGCATTTCCAGAGGCGTGGCTGCAAAATCGCAAAGTGCAAGTGCAAAAGTAGCAGGCGAAGTGCACTTCCGCAGCTCCGGCTGAAAATTCAAAAATTGAAGTTGCGATGTTCCAGCTGGAGCTGCGCGAGCGCGCTTCGCACCCTACCTTTGCGCGAAAACACTTACGACTTCGCAGCCGGAGCTGGAGCTGCTGCGGGAATGCTCTTCGCGTACAACTTTGGCCGGAGCCATGGGAACGCACTTCACGCACCACTGTTGCACTTAAAAGTTGCGATTTTGCAGCCGGAGCTCTCTAAGGTCACCACTCTTGTTGATCTAGCGTCTGGCGCTGAGGTGCCTCGTTGGAACGCCCTTGCGGCCGTCGGACTCCTTGAGTCCGTGGCCGGAGCTGCGGTCAGGATGCTGTACTGCTTCGAGCGTGTAGGCCAACGAACTCCACCAGCATCCTGGGGAAGCACTCGTCGGACAGTGGGCCCTGCTTCTGCAGCTCGGCGGGGCTCAACAGAGCTGCCAGCATCTCCACGCCACCCTCGCAGTCGCCAACAGGACACACCTCTTGCTTGCGAGTTGCAAGTCAGGGTGCCAGCGTGCGAGCATGGGGAAGACCTCGTCCACAAGAGCCTTAGCCTTCTTCTGCCTGGTCTCGATCAGGCCAGCGACCCCTGCACGAAGTTGGTGGAGTCCAAGAAGAGCAGCGGTCCCAGGCGGGAAGCTCAGGCACCGCTCGCCCGACTTCATGAGGACCTTGAACTTGAGCTTGCTGAAGTTGGAGAAGTCGCAGCGCTCCTCGAGCTGCTCGCGTACACCTTGTGGTAAGGATCCGAGGTGAGCTCCTCGGTCTGTTCCGCTCGGGCCCTGCTTGGATGGGCGGCCTACTTGCTATGTAGTTGGCGAACTGAAGCGACTTGCTATGCCACTTGCAAGTTGCCTCACTTGAAGTAGTAAGTCCAATAAATCTGACTTTGCGGACTTACAACCTGGGCTTAGCCAGGTTGTAAGTCCGCTAAGGCAGACTTAGCGGACTTGCCGGTGTCTCAGCAAATCGCCTAAGTTCGCCAAGTACATTTCAAGTTGGCCGCTTATCCAAGTGTAGTGGGGGTCCTCGAACCACTCCTCGTCGTACAGGTTGTCTGGCGGCTCGTCGGCATCGAGGCTCCCAACCTTTGCTCCACAACTTTGCAACGCACCTCATGAGCAGGTGGAAATCGTAGCCTCCCCCGTTGTAGAGGCTGAGGCTTGGTTCAAGGGTTGCTTAAGCCTGGCCTTCAGTGGCGAGTTGGTGTAATGTCCACATAGGATTAATGAATGCGCGCGGAATAAAGACAAACGGGTGGCCCAAAAAGATTCATAAATGCACCTGGAATAGAGACAAGCGCCCGCCACCCGCGCCAAAAACAACATCCCCCGCCCCCCGGAAAAACAACACAGAGAGAAACGAGGAGAGATAGCCAAGCCAACCTGGTCCTTGGATCTTTGGTGCCTTGTGCCTTAAATCCAAAATTGTCAGCTTTACCAAACCAATGTTTTCTTACATGTCTCTTGTTGAAAACCTGCCCGCAATCAAACCCACAAAGGGGGTAGTACTTCAGCCCCCAACTTGGCATTAATTCAGGCGCCCCCGAAATAAAGTCTCGTTGGCTGGCCCACCCAAGAGGAAGCTCCCGCAATACAAAATGAAATGGAAACTCAGTTTCAAATCTCAAAAGAATTCTCCAGCAATACTAAATCAAATGGAAACTCAAGTCTACCAATACTAAATCAAATGGAAACTCAGTTCCAAATCTCAAAAGGAAGCTCCAGCAATACTAAATCAAATGGAAACTTAGTTCCAAATCTCAAAAGAAATCTCCAGCAATACTAAATGAAATGGAAACTCAAGTCTACCAATACTAAATCAAATGGAAACTCACTTAAACTGGATTTCATGATGCTATTCCAGGTGCCCCCCGTTGTTGGGGGGGGGACCCCCGTTTACTAATCTCAGGTGGGCATTAGGCGTATTTTATGGTTGCCCGACGGTGACGCAGGCGTAGCACGTGAGGCTCAGTTCACGGTCAGAAATATCTGAGTTGAGCAAAAATCAACATGTAGGGCTTTGATGATTTGAGAAACGCATGAAACTTCTGTGAAGAACGCTCACATATGCAGGAGGAAACGGCCCCAAGTGGAGCTCACTTTTTCGATGGCCCGCTGTGTGGACCCACCCTTTACGGGCCTGCTCACAAGGTGCTGCAAAAGGATTGAAAAAGATTAACCATATTCCACCCCCTCTCCCAAAAAGATGCTGCGGCTTCTCACCCTCGAAACATGTTACATCCAAACATAAGGGTGCGCAACCTTAGCCCAACCCGAGTTCCTGCCTTTGATAAGCCCCATAAACAACCCCTAAAATATCCCGGCAAGAGATCCCAAATAGTCTTGGGTTTAATGTGACGCTGAATGGCCCGGAAGCATAGAAAGACGTTAAATAAACCCTGACACCTCTTCCACTGCAGGTGAGAAACAAGCGTAAGCACATCAATGTCCCTTCGTAGCTTCTGCAAGTTCTGATGAGCTAGCTTGGCGCCGCGCTCCAAAAGTCTCTTCTGTCAACTTCTCTTGCGCGCCACGCTGTGTGTTGACGGCATGATGTTGCACACCATGCTGCGCGCGACATTGCGCACGACGCCGTGCGTGATGCTGCGCGAGGTGCTATGCGTGACGGTCCTTCTCGCGCATGATGCTGCGCCACCTCTCTCACTCAACCTTTCATGTCCCTTTCTCTTGTCAACATCTCGTGCCCATATCTGCGTGCAGTGCAAGAAGGCTGGCGGTTTTAGTCGCAGAACTGTACTTGGCACACTCTACTTTTGCGCCTGCAAGTTGCGGTTTTCGGTTGGAGATGGGCGCTCCGAAACATCGCATTCGCGCTTGCAAGTTTTAAGTACAAAAGCACGTGAAGAGCATGTCCAGAGGCGCGGCTGCGAAATCGTAAGTACATAAGCAGCACGCGGCTGAAAACCCAACGCTGACCTAGGATCTTCTTGGAGTGGCGCGCAAAGCGGGCCCCGAACCCTCTCAACGACAAGGCCTACCAGCTGACCAAGAGCTACAACCACTGCAAGAACGCCTACTGAGCAAATTGCACGGCCGCCTCCTGAAGAAAAGCAACCCTCAACTCCATGCGCCTCACCCTCATG